GGTTTAACGTCTCATCCGAAAGACGGTGCTTTTTGACAGTATAGTGTCCCCGTCACTATACTGGGGCATTAGGACCCACACAGACCACAGGGTGAGCACCCCCTGCTGGCCTCACTAACACCTCTTCCAACAGCAGCCTAGTTTTTCCCAGGAGGTCTCCCATCCAGGTACTGACCATCCGCAGCGCCCGCGGATATAACCGCCATCCGCGCATCACTAATATATATATATATATATAAATATAAATTCAAACTTAATTTGATGATACATATACTAACTAATTCTTACAAAGACAACCACATTATGCCATAGAGAATGTTGTCACCGACTGGTGATGGACTGTTCCTTGCCCTCTCCTGGCGCTAAGAAATTTGTGCCACGAAACTCATAATTAAGGGTGGCCTGATTCTATCAGTCATAGACAAGTTTATTATGTGGCACTGGTACCTGACAGCTTCAGTGACGTGGTTGGACGTGTGTCCTGACAGCGCGTCGTGGAGGTTACGGATGAAATAGTCCCTGTACTCCTCCGGCAGAGCCATGAATGTGCCTCCCATCACAATGAACTCCACTTTATCCACACTGTGACCCAGCTGCTTAAGCTAGATGTGCAAACACAGCAGCATAATGACATTAACACCATCTAATGAGTGGAAAAGATGAGAGGATCATCAACGTTGCAGATGTACACTGTAAAATCAAAACCATTAAGTAGCTTATGATTTTAACTGTATGCCAAAAATGCTGCTTATGAATATGAACAGTGAAGATGACTCACCTGTTCTACTCGGTGCCTAGTCTGGAGGTAGGGATCGTATCGTGCACGGATGGCTCTCATTGACGTAGGCTGGGTAAGAGGGTGAATAGACAATCAAAATGAAGTGTATGGCACAACATCAGTGCAAAACTCATAAAAACATGTATGATAGCATTGCAGTGGGATACAGAAGGATAATTACCTCATATCCAGTGTAAGACTGTGTGGAATATTCAAAATCTGAGTCCGGACCCCCAGGGCAGTAGCTGTTTGAGCAAATGAAAACAAATACACACTACATCTACATCAAAACTGAGACCAGATTTATCATTATATTTTGCTCATAAAAGCTATACCACCAGCTGACAACACAATGCTAACTGCTTGAACCAGATGCAGGTCCACATGGAATATGTACTGTAAAAGGTTTATGCCGTTCTATAGGATGAATCGCTTGTGTTGTAGAATTTCTCATTTAAAAGCATGGGCTGAAAGAATAAATTTAAGTTTAAAAATAAGTTTAGGGTCGATCAGAATTTTTTATGTCTTTGAAAGAAGTCTCTTATGTTAATAAGAACAGCTTTTCTTTGATCAAACATACAGTAAAACTGCCACCCAGCATAAGGTCTAGCATATCCAAATCTAGCATAAGGTTGAGAAACAAGTAATAGCGGGAAATATTATTACGATTTAAAATGTTCTCTATTTCAATACAAATGTAATTTATTTATGATAGCAAAGCTCCAGTTTTCAGTGTCACATGATCTTTCAGAAATCATTCTAATATGCTGATTTGGTGCTAAAGAAACATTTGTTAATATTATAAGTGGTGAAAACAGTTGGGCTGATTAATGTTTGTAGAAACTTTGATTAAAAAAACTTTTTTGTTTTTTGTTTTTGATAAATAGTTAAAAGTTAACAATAAGTTATAAAGAACATCATTTATTTGAAATAAAAGTACTTTATAACATTATATATGCCTTACTCTCACTTTTGATCCATTTAATGCATTCTTGCTCAATAAAAGTATTAATTTCTTTAAAAAAAAAAAATAAAAAAAAATCTTACCGACCCCAAACTTTTGAACGGTAATGTAACAGAAATACAAGGACACATTATTTCAGTCGATGAATCGCTTGTGTTGTAGAATTTCTCATTTAAAAGCATGGGCTGAAAGAATAAATTTAAGTTTAAAAATAAGTTTAGGGTCGATCAGAATTTTTTATGTCTTTGAAAGAAGTCTCTTATGTTAATAAGAACAGCTTTTCTTTGATCAAACATACAGTAAAACTGCCACCCAGCATAAGGTCTAGCATATCCAAATCTAGCATAAGGTTGAGAAACAAGTAATAGCGGGAAATATTATTACGATTTAAAATGTTCTCTATTTCAATACAAATGTAATTTATTTATGATAGCAAAGCTCCAGTTTTCAGTGTCACATGATCTTTCAGAAATCATTCTAATATGCTGATTTGGTGCTAAAGAAACATTTGTTAATATTATAAGTGGTGAAAACAGTTGGGCTGATTAATGTTTGTAGAAACTTTGATTAAAAAAACTTTTTTGTTTTTTGTTTTTGATAAATAGTTAAAAGTTAACAATAAGTTATAAAGAACATCATTTATTTGAAATAAAAGTACTTTATAACATTATATATGCCTTACTCTCACTTTTGATCCATTTAATGCATTCTTGCTCAATAAAAGTATTAATTTCTTTAAAAAAAAAAAATAAAAAAAAATCTTACCGACCCCAAACTTTTGAACGGTAATGTAACAGAAATACAAGGACACATTATTTCAGTCATACTCACACACAGATGTTGCCTGTGAAACTGATGTGTGGGCAGCGATGAGGCTTGCACATCACAGCGACAACTGCAATCTACAAAAGAAATATAAAATCAAAGTCTGTGCAGCAGTTTAATTTCTACATTATGATATCTTTACGCCACCCCCAATACAAATAGCAAAGGGCCAACAAGCCATGCTAACCCCACTGGCAGTACGGATGGGTTTGGCTTTAAGTTTGGGCACCAAGGCTCTTCGGTAGTGAGGCGGCACTGCAGCAATGATGTCCACCAGCCGTGGCTGTGCAGGGAGACCATATTTGGCTGATGTCTTCGTCTTGACTCTATAAAAACACCAGCTCTCTTAGTTTACCATTTTCCAGTGAGAAAAAACTGTTCCAATTGTGTTTCTGAAACTTAAAAATGCACTGACTTGTTAAGGTTAATATCTTTTCCCTGTTCATGGGCCTCAACCAACTGCTTGATGACATCTGCAATCGTCATCATCATCAGTTCTGCACGGCTCAAGTCACCTGATGAGGACACAGACAGATAATGCGTACTCTTTCTCAGCAGAAAGCAGGTTTCAGACACCTGTCCCTACTGTTAACTACTAGTTACTCTGGATGCACTGACAGCTTTGATTGTTCCAACTTTTTATCATAAACTTACATCTAACCCCAAATGCTTTCCAAACATATATACTGACAGATACTTTTGTTTGGAAGTAATAAGAAAACATTAGTAGTTACTTCCAAATTAATGCTTCCTTAACGAAACATAACCAAAAAACAAACAAAAAAAGTATTCATTCACATGACTTTAACTTTTTGTCACATTGTCATTTTAACAGTGACGAACATTTACTAAACTGCTTGTGTTAAATAAAAATAAAATATAACATTCCCTTACATATGATGTTAAAACATACAATACCCAAGTCTTAGTAGATTAGACATTACATCATGCAACTAACAGAACACGTACTGTATAAAATTAACAGTTAATACTTACTCTTCTTTTTCGGTTTTCCCATCTTGGAAACAAGCTACAAATAATCCAGAACTCGTATATGATAAACACTCAAACTTGTTGTTAGTTATATCATCAAGCTACGGATAAAAATGTCAACATCAGCGAACATGCTGCACCCTTCCGTAAAGCGATTGCTTTGTCGTAAAGCAACACATGTAGTACGATTGTCGTAAAGTTGTAACGCACTTACGTCATATAAGTAGTCAAGTGGTCAAGTGCAAAGACCGCAAGTGTGGGTATTTGGACAAAGCTATAGCCACAGCAGTTCTGAAGAACACACTGGAGGACCTCTAGTGTTCAGAGAGTCTTTAGACAATCTGTAGTAGAGACATTTTGTCTCATAGGGCTATTGTTTAATAAATATCCCACATACTTAGTGATATAGAAATTATATTGTAAGAAAAATATCGTTAGAGATTGTTATGAGCACCAAGGGTAATTGTAATAGAGTAACCACACAGTAAAGTATCGTGAATGTTTAAAAATTGCCTCTTGCCATCAACTAGGCTTTGGCTAGTGTGTATGCCTCGACTGATATCTGATTCTCCAACATGTACTGCAATTATAATAATAGCTATGCAGTCTTTTGAAGCTATATTTATCCCATTCATATCTGGCTACTGTAGTAACTCGCTATATTTAGGGTGATAGGGATTTGTTTCTACAGCTGTGCAACACTAAACTGAATATTCTAATTGTATCATATTAAGACCACTATTATGCATTGCACATTTTTAGCATGCAAGCAATAATAATAATAATCTATCTATCTATCTATGAGTTGCGAGTAGACTATAGGTCGCATTACAGTCCATATAGTGCCATGAAAAATGGGAAGTTGAGCATGAATTACTAAATGCAACCTCTGTTAAGTAATTCTTGGCAGTATGTCAAATAGAAGAAAAAAAACACTTCTTGAGCGTGTGTACATTTGGGTGTGTCCGTCTAAAACGAGGAGGAACCGCAGGCAAATACTCTAGTAATGTTAGTCCCTCCTTCTCAGCTCAGCTCGGACGAAAGTCTACACTTTAAACCTGATACAGTGTTGAGTTTCAAGCGATAGTGGCAATAAAAGTATGATTACTCTAGTCTAACACAGTGGAGCAAGACGTTAAGGGAGGGTCTGTTTTCTCCAGTGCCAGGCAACATCTGCTGCTGTTCTTCCGCAGTTTCCCTGCAATCTCAAGGATCCCGCGTGCGGTAAAAAAAAAAAAAAATATATAAATACACCGTACGTCGCACTTCATCATGTATCAGCTTATAAGGAAATTCGTGTTAACCGAATCGCATTGTTTGGAGGAGGACAACACGAAAACTTTCGCGGAGTTGTTTGAGAAGTTAGACGCTAATAAAGATGGGAAGGTGGATGTTTCTGAGCTCAAGACGGGCCTGGCTGCTATGGGCTTCACTATGGGGAAAGGAGAAGCGCAGGTAATTCCAGTTCACTGGCTCACTGTGTTTCTGTTGTTGACTCGCTTGTTGTAGATCTGGGTATTAGGTGCAGTATAAACCGCATAACCCAATAAACCACGTTGACAGGCTGTTGGGTTCCGATATTGTTCGCATGCTAGGGAAATGTAGTACTAAGAAAAAAACACCATTTTGTTCGATGTAATATTGCAGATAATAATGCATGCTTCTAAACTAAACCTTATAGTAAAATACTATAAACAGTAGTTCAAAGATATGATGGGGAAATTATGCATTTAGTGCCAACCCACAACCTCTTCCTCCTCCTCTAGTAATATTTAAGTAACCTAGGAGTATATATAATCATGCTTTTTACGTTTATTGCACATAGAAATAGTCACCTAATTTTGACTACAGGAAATAACAGATCTGCCGCCCTCAACATTCCCCCAGCTGTCCTTTCTTTCAGATAGGGTTTTCCAATCACATATAGGTAATGCCATTTCCTGTCTTTTGCAAGGAAGTGCACTTAAAGCAGAAGGGTGTGTAAAGACACTTCTATACTGCTCATGCTCATATAAAACCTACTTTCCATTATCCGTTGGCATTCCTTACCCCTGAGACAGATGATATAACCACACCTCGCCTAAGCAAATGAGACTCACTATCAGTTCAAAGACAATGAGTGTGCCTGCAAACTCATCAGGTGACACAGATGCATTCTAATGATTTTCTTGTTATGTCCATGCTGATTTTGGAGAGAAATTTGCTTGTCGAATTGCTTTTTAGATTTGTATTACCTACATTTCTGCATTGTAGAAGTGTGAATTCTGCAATATAACAAAGAGTGAAAAATTTAAGGGGGTCTGAATACTTTCCGTACCCACTGTAAATGACAACACTGGGTGGCAGTGTTTTTAAAACCTACAGTGATGTCAGAACAAACTGAGCTGGGTTTGTCTGACTGTTTGAACATGAAATGAGGGCTAAAGGGCTTTTTCTTAAATCTAGCATAAGGTTGAGAAATTATTGTTTCCAGAGAATCTGTACGATGTGCAAAAATATTAATGTTTATGTTTAGGTTCAGTACTCGGTGATGCACATTTTCCAGGAACCTCATAGACTGTGTTTGTTTCTCTCTTACAGAAAATGTTTGCCTCTGGAGACACTGATAAGGATGAAGGGCTGGACTTTGAGGAGTTTTCAAAGTATCTGAAAGAACACGAGAAAAAACTCAGACTGACCTTCAAGAGTCTGGACAAAAATCAGGATGGTAAGATTGAAGTATACTGTATGTTTTTTGCTCTCCTTTTTTCAGGACTAATCCACTAATCCGTTTTAACCATTAAATTCATAGGATCTTTTGTACCCTAAAACCACTCTATGTTAAAGCATCAAAGCATTATAGACAACAACATGAAACGATGTATATTGTGAAAGGCGCTATATAAATGAGTTTGACCTAAAGTCTTACATCCAGTAATGTAAAGTCTTACTTACATCCACTAATCATGCTAATTTAGAGTCAAATGGAAACACTTGTCATTGCACCTTCTGCTTTTGTTGATCACCAAATAAACATTTATTAACAACATTAATTGCATATGCAGGTCGCATCGATGCCAAAGAGATCCAGCAGTCACTTAAAGACTTAGGCTTAAACTTGACAGATCGAGATGCAGAGAAGATCCTCCACAGGTACTCCTAAGGCCTGCTCACACCAAGAATGAAATGAATGAAAAATTGAAGTCTATTCAGACCATGATCAAAACCCATCCAAGTCTTCATTTCATTTATAGCAAAGCAGCCAATAACTGACTGGACAATAAAGATTACACTCACTTAAATGCAAAATATTACACACCTGATACAAATTTAATTTGCTTTAATGTAGTGATGAAGTCATAGTGTTAACTTGTAAATAGGCCTTTAAAGGGGTGGTTCATTGCGATTTCACTTTTTTTACGTTAGTGTGTAATGTTGCTGTTTGAGCATAAACAATATCTGCAAAGTTACGAAGCTGAAAGTTCAATGCAAACGGAGATATCGTCTTTTAAAATTCTGGCAGTTTAATGCCTACAAAAACGGCTGGTAGGGACTACAACGAGTTACTTCCCGGGTTCGTGACATCACAAACCCAGATAAACCCCGCCCTCAGGAAAAGGCAGCAAAGGGGGCGAGGCCATGCTGCGCTGCTTTAGAGAAGAGGAAGAGAAAACTAGAGGTGCACGTAAAAATCTATTCATATATGAATCGCAATTCTGTCTTCTAACGATTCTAATGGATTCACAAGTTTCAAAATCAATGTTCTAAAGCAGTGGTTCTTAATACTGTTCCTCGCGTCGCCTGCTCGGCCTCTCTCTCTCTCATTCAGATCATCCTATTTCTGAGGGTGGGGCTTCATAAAAACAGGAAAAGATCAGCCCGTTTCTCAGAGATGGGACAGAGCTGTGTGGAATAAAGGTAAATTATGTGAAAAATAATGTTTATTTTTTATTTTTTAAACGAAGCATTAACACATGTTAGACTGCACCCCATAAACACAATCAAGCCTAGAAAAAAAACACTGAACCACCCCTTTAATCATTTATGCACATTTGTGTTGTCAGTAATTAGAGAAGTACACAATATGCTTGTATAATTTCTTTGCTTGTGAAATACTAATCTAATTAGTTCGCTGGTAAAGTATTGCAGAGAAGGGCAGAGTTTCTTGGAAAATTCTATGGTTATGCAGAAAATGATTAGTAGTGGTTTGATATGGGATATAAGTGTCACAGCAATAAGCTTAGTATTTTTATATTTATTTACATATATGTACTCATATACTGTATTACATAAAGAAAAAAACATTCTATATAGCCTTTCCTGTTCAGCTGACAATTTTTTGAGATTCACCCATTAGGCCCTAGTATAACTTTATCACATAGGACATTGTAATCCATATTCACATGTCTTATCTAATTTGACCCTTTGTCCTCCAGTATTGATGCGGATGGAACTATGACTGTGGATTGGAATGAATGGAAGGAGCATTTCCTCTTCAACCCAGCAGATAACCTTCAGGAAATCATACGCTACTGGAAACACTCAACTGTAAGTTCCACACAATCATTATATCACATATTGCATGCATTACCATCTGATTTGAATCAGGTATCAGTTACAATGATCACTAGATGCTATGATGACGGCTCTGCTTAGTGTAGTCAAGCGGTCACATGTCATCAGCTTGGTCAGACGCCCATTCAGTTGTCTAGTCAACCACACAGTTTGGTAGCCCTGTAATCAGCTTGGCCAGCCATTTATATCCCTCTGTCAGAGGGGAGTATTGGGGGATCATGGGAAAAGTGTTGAGACCAGGAAGGATAAGGAGTCTCTTAACTGATTAAGTGTCGAGAGTTAACGAAAGTGACACAAATATTTCTTCAAAGTGCAAGACAACTTAGCATCTCTTGCACGCACACATTTACGCTATATGCATAAGGACATATTATATACTTTAAGTAAAGCTCATTATAAATACTACTGATTACCTCTAACACAAACCAAAGCCCAATTTTTACTATTTAGAATTAAAATAATACAATGTTTGTGGTTGTCCGCATCTTTTATCTGAAGTCTTTTCAGGGTAACTTAAATTTTATACTTAAAATAAGCCAGTCACTGGGTGATTTTCTGATTTTTGAGCAGTGCAAGTTCGGCTTGAGTCATCTCAGCCAATTGCAGCGAAGCTAATTTAAGACTGTCCTGTACTGGGA